AACACAACTCTCTCAGGGATGGATCTCTGGGAAACTTGCGCCAGCATCTCTAGCAACTACTTATCATACGTTGGGCAAGTTTTTGGTGAAACCACGTCACTCATGGGAGCGGATCTCTAGGCAAGTCATGTCACTATCTCCCGCAACTAACTATCGCGTGTTGGACATGTTTTGGGCACTTCCCTCCACAGACTCCTATTTAACCTCCCTATGGAACCTCATTGTGGAACGGAGGAAGTACATCGGATGCTATTAGATTTTATACTGCCCAATCTATTAAAGTGTTGTGCTCATCCTGTGGATAGGTAGATGGGTGCATAAGTACGAACCAGATTCACACAAGTGATCTCTCCCTTCCCGCGTCCAGTTACAAAATAGACAAGGGACCGAGCTACGTCCATGAATTACCCCCTGATGTTCAACAATGACTCTAGAGATCCCCCTTTTTTATAGGAAACTTTTACTGAGTGATTTAGGCGAGTATTATTTATATTGAGGCAACTTACTCCATTGGCAATTGCAACTTGTGTGCAAATCACAACAATTTGCTGCTTAAATAATGCTACTGATATAAAGTGTACAAATTTATTTACAGATTGCCTAACTTCACTGCACAGGTAAAGAATTCATAATTCAATGGGCCATCACGTAGATTTTCGGGCAACTACAGTTTACCTAGTAAATGATGGGCAAGTTTTGGTCAATAATAACACAGTATGCAACAAATGATATCCTGGTATCCTTGAGTCATCACTTGTTCCTTGCGAGTTGACCTATCGGAGGAAACAACACGTATGAGTATGGATTATATTTCACATAAGTTGAGAGGCCTTACAGAAGTAGCTTCGAGCACAACCGTATTGTCTTAACCTCAAAGTTTTACAGCAAAAGACTATCTATTTCTGAACCGATTGAGAAACTGTTGATTCCAAGTCAACAATCTTGAAGAAATTGTTAAAATTTCTTGGAACTAAGAAAACTGTTTGGATAAGATAAATTTCGTATGCAACACATACAGTGAAGATACTACATCAGAAGCTACATGTTGAACCATGATGCTACTGATTAACTAGGATCTTGTTGCATAATTAATCACATAGCTATTAAGCAGTTAAAACACACCTGAAAGGGAAAATTTGGTGTTCCAAAAGCAGAACGCAGCTCCGCCAGTGGTGAGCACCTTGTGGACTTCGAGCTATGGAGAATTGCACATTCATGCAAAGGGTTGAGTCAGAAGCAGTAGTAATGGGCGAAATCCAAAATGGCACGTACATGATCTAGCTTACCTGAGAAAACGACTTTGCACAGTGTTGGCTTTCAAAATAAATAACATGAAGAGTAAATGTTGTGTTGTTATGAATGCATCTTCCCTCCATGCATATTAGATTGCATTTGTCTAGAACAAAAAATATAGGCAAGTGACATTTGTGTGTTTTGGGGCAAATTAAGTGTAATCATCAGGCAAAAAGTTTGTGTTTTTTCGCAGGCTACTTTGATTTGTAATAAAAAAACACAACAAGTTGTTGGTGCCATTTTTTGGGGCAAATTCAGTGCAATCAGCAAGAAAGCAAAAAAAAATCTCCTGCTTTTTGGGACAAGAACTGTTAAGCAAAGTTTAGCAAGTCTTTAGGCAAATTGTTTTTGTGATGTAGGCAAACCACATAAAGCTTTTTGCAGGCACCAGGCTAATCCCTGGGTGATCACAATGAAGTTTTTTTTTCGTCCGAATTGTACCTGAGAAGTAAGTGATAAAGCTTTTTTGCCTGGGCATGATTTTGTTTTCTCAGTGTGTAGATTGCATGAAGTCCTGGTTGGGGGAAATAGGAAAAAAATTCAGAAGTAAGTCCTGTTGCGTGTTGTAGGCAAAATACATACTACTTCCAGGCAAGTTTTGTAGATTACCTGGGAACACATGATGAATCCTATCCCAGTAGTTAGCTATGATTGAGTATGTTGAGAAATGAGAAATTTCAGCGCTCCCTTGTAACTGCAACCCAACGGCCCCTGCAATGAAATTGTCCGGTGAATTGCGATGTGCAAAGGATGTAAACTATCTGAACATTGATTAAAGGATGTAGAGGTTGATCTGTCGTTCGGTGCTTCTGAAAAAGATGTCAAAGGAGTGCAAATGATGCGAAGACTGTAGAATGTGGACGCATGTGCACCTGTTCTTAAAAGCTGTGTTGTTGCTCTCGTGTACTTGCTTTGAAGTTTGGTGTGCACCGTGTTTCAGTTTCAGTGTTAGCAAAAACACAAGAACAGCAAAGCACACATCAACCTACGCACAGCTCACAAATCAAGTTGGTGCGAGCCGTCGAGCGAGCGAGGAACACAGCCCATGATGCGGCACTCGGGTAAGCCGTCGCAGGTGCAGCTGATTGACGCGGTCTGCGCGAACAACCCGAACCAGTCCAGCTTCCCGCACGGGTCCTTCAGGGTTACCTTCGCGCCATACCAGAACCCGAGACCACCGCTTCAGGGCGGCCGTTGCAAGAGGAGGCGACGGATCGGCCCTTGGTGCCGGCGGACAACACGGACGAGCCGCTGCGGGCTGACCTGAGCACCAGATCGCCCTCCAGCGTGGGCTCCGTGGCGGCCGTCCCCGATGGAGCCGCGACGGTTAGCTGACCCAAACTCCAGATCCTGGAAAGAGGGGGAGGAGACGGCGGCGCGGCTGCTCTGTATCCCCCGCCGACCGGCTTGCTGGACTCCTCTTCTCTGCCATCTCCCCCTCGACCTCCCGGGCGTCGTCGCCGGCGCTCCTCTGCTCGACGGGGAAAAGGGGATTGGGCTAGTGTGTTTTTTTCTGAGAGATAGCGAAGCAGTTTCGCTGTGTGCCCAAGCGGTTTAATTAACTCGGACGATTCGCTCCGACCGTGGCACACCTGGCGATCGTGATTGCGGATCCGACGGCGCGCAGGCCTGTGTGCTCGGGAGAACTAATCAGCACAGCTGCACTTTTTAGAATTTAGGTTAACTTTCCAAGGAGAAAAATTTGCAGGGGCTATCAGCTACCACAGATGTGACTGTCAGTCTATCACTCTCTTGTAGACCAAAGACCTGAACAATCATGTTTCGAATTAATTAAATATTTTTTCTTAGGAATCCCAATCAAATAAATTGGTGGAGGATCTTGGCCTAGCCACATGGTGAGTCGACTACTTTGAGGCGACACGTGATGACCGCGACCACGAAGGGAAGCTTCTGCTAGCCCAGTGCAAAGCTAGCCTTCATCTATACAAACCACACGATCCATCTATACTTTGATGGGTTCAGCAATCACTACTAGGGAAAAGTTTATAGGCAGGCGCTTACTAGTAGCGCGCTTTATAACACACGCTACTGGTACTTACTAGTAGCGCGGGTTTATACCCCTCGCTACTACTAAGTTGATAGTAGTAGCGCGGGTTTATATCCCTCGCTACTACTAAGTGGTCTCTACCGCCGTCGTCCCCCTCCCTCCGGGACATTGCCATAGTAGTAGCGGGCGGTATAAACCTGCGCTACTACTAAGTTGATAGTAGTAGCGCGGGTTTATACCCCTCGCTACTACTAAGTGGCGTGCCCCCCGGGACATGCCATAGTAATAGCGAGGGGTATAAACCGGCGCTACTACTAAGTACAAGGTAGGTGAAGTCCCCATATCCTGGGCCGAATCCCTCCTCTCTCCCTCACTCTCCCCCCTCTCTTCAAGGTAGAGAGCTCCTGCCCAGGCACATCTCCTCCTCCATGGCGCCCAACGAGTCTGCCTCCTCGCGTCGCTGGCGTCCAAGAGCAGTAGTATCTAGGGTTGTAGTTATCTCTTGTAACAACCTTGTAGTTATCTCTTTGTAACCCTAGCGGCAGCCCTAGAGGCGCCCTATATATTGATCCTGCGACCACCGCATTAGGTGTGTCGATCCAATCTCTCATCTCCCTGTTTCACAACACGATCGATCTATACTTTGATGGATGGATTCAGCAACCAGCACCAACAACGCACGCGTACACTTTATTTGGGAGTGCCTATGCCTCACGCGACTGAGAATTTGTAGTCCATCTGCCACCCGTCTGACCGGTATATTAATCGATGGAAGGAGACTTTCTCGTCAGCGATGAAGGCATATGTGGCGAATTCGTCAATCTCAAGATGATGTGTCGGCTCAGTCTCTAGGTGCTCATAGGAAAAGTGTGTGTGCATGCGATCGTTCATAGGGATGAGTGTACGTGCGTATAGCGTCTGCGTCTGTACTGTGTAAAAAGAAAAACGCTTTATTTATTATATGTGAGTAACTATGCTCAGGCGACTGTAAATTCTCAATCGGCCTACAACCCTTCTGATCGATGAACTAATCTTGTCGTTCTTATCCTGCCCTCGTACGTTTTCAGTGCGTACGTGGGCTTGTGTTTTCCATTATTCTTGCTTTTTTTGTCTGGCCTTGTAATTTATGTTGCTGTTCTACGATAGTCAGTCTAACACTGTCATGTCTGATCCCCGTTGTGTTTGTATCAGTCTGTTGTCCTAGCACCATCTACAAAGAGCGAGAAGAAAGTAAGGAACATCTTGGAAGGGCTATGCGGCAATGCCAACAGGTATATTTCTTAACAGAGGGAGTATCTAACAAGAAGTTGCTCATGCATGGTTACATTTTGTCGAAAGGTAATAAAAACGTGCTTCGGCAAAATTAGTCCCACATCTTATGATCCAAACTAACCATCTCAGCAAGCAATGGGACCTTGCACATTACGTGGCATAAGAAATCCAAGTAGTTCTGAATAATATTACACCATTAATGGGTATGCCATAGCAGGATACATATATTTTATGAGACGAAACCTTGTGGCATGCACAACTTCCACCGGCGGTACAAAGATACAATACGACACATCAGCAAGTTCTGAATGGTAAAGTGTTTGACAATACAATATAGAAATAAGTTCTTCAGGCCCTTTAATCTTGTAGCGATATCTTTGGTACTTGTAGCTTAAGTCACACCCGTGGTCTGAACCACTTTTGCCAAGTAACAATAGAAATGACATAAAACCTGTCATATAGCCTGTCGAGTAGCCCAAAATAAGCGTACCTCCATCTCGTCATGAAGAGAAGTCCAAAAAACACCATCCAAGCACCCGCCACAAAACCAATAATTGACCCAAGAAGAAAATCTATTTGAGACAAGCCATCTTCAGGCAACCTTGTTGGATCTTTGTTGGTTGGCGGATCTGTAGGAGGACCAGGACATTGCATTGGAATTGGATGTCCACAAAGACCGGGATTTCCAACATACATAGAAGCTGGATCATCTGTATTGAGGGTGTCAAGTTGATGCCCCGAGGGTATTCTTCCAGACAGATTATTGTATGACAAGTTTAAATAGCCCAGGTATGTCAAATCTGATAAGCTCTTGGGGATTTCACCAGCTAGTTTGTTCCTCGAGAGGTCAAGAGACTCCACTAATTGAAGTATGCCAATATTATACGGGATATTTCCACTCAACAAGTTTGATGATAAATTCAAACTTATGAGACCAACAAGGGAGCTTAGTTTCTCAGGGATTTCTCCAGTCAAATTGTTGCGAGACAAATCAATGCTCATCAAATATACAATATTCTCTCCATACTCAATCACTTTTTCTTTCATGACAACCGTGAAGCTGCCATTAGCCGTTCCCATACGAAGTGAACGGTACTCACCAATTTCTTCTTCTTCAAAGGGATCACGAAATATTGTATCAGTGCTACTCAAAGCTTTCAAGTTTTCTATATATGGCGGTATGACCCCAACAAAGTTATTATCGGATAAATCAAGAATACAAATAGCATGAAGTCCCATGATTTCAACTGGAATGTGACCAGAAAAGTTGTTTGATCCTAACCGTAGCATAACCAAACCGGGCATGGCTTTGCTGATCCACCCAGGCAACTCTCCAGTGAATCTATTTTGAGTTAGATCGAGGAAAATAAGACTCGGACATTGTCGTAGGAGCAGAGGAAATCCACTTGAAAAATTGTTATAGCTTAGGATAAGAGTAGTGATTTTCAAAAAGGAACTCACTGAAATGAATTTTGTAGAGTTATTGCCTGATGAGTTCTGCTGTTTCAGCTCTTTTTGGCCACAATCAGGAAGTTCCTTTGAAAGCAGATTGTTTGAAAGATCTAAGATCCGCAATTTCTGCAATCGACAAATCGACGTTGGAATAGTCCCAGATATAGCATTGGAAAACAGAACTGGAACTTGCAAATTCTGAGCTCCTAAATCTTCTACAAACCCATTTAAGAAGTTTCTGGATATGTCCAATAACTTAATTGTCCTTGGTAACTTGGGTATCAAACCCGTCAGTAGATTTGACTGCATCAAAAGTGTGACCACTGACATGAACTCCAGATTGATTGGTAAGTCGCCGCTTAGTTGATTCAGGGAGATGTCCAACCATGTAACTTCAGCAAAGGTAGTCCAAAACCAATCTGGTACCCTATCAACTAGACCTGTGTTTGAAATCATAAGTTCACGAATGCCCTTCTGCCAATGAAGCCATTTAGGAAACTTGGGACCCAAAAGACAAGATGATAAACATGCTGATTCCAATTTGAACGGAGGTACCCAATGCGAGTCGATAATAACTTCCAAATTATTATCAGAAAAGTCAATGTACTTTAAATTCATCAAACCAATAAAATGATCTTCTGTTATCACACCACTCAAGGTGTTGTTTCCAAGGTCTAAGTAAGTCAATTTTGTAAGTGTGCCGATCTCCACAGGCACTGAACCGCTCAAGTTGTTGTGCCTCAGGTCTAAGTAAGTTAAATTTGCAAGCACGCCAATGTCCATAGGCACTGAACCACTCAGTTTGTTGTGACTCACTTGAAGTATGTTTAAGCTAGTTAGGTTTGACACAAAGTGTAATGTTGTGCCAGTGATATTGGCACTATCCAGAATCAACTGTTGCAAATTCTTCCAAGAGCAGCTGGGTATCGAGTCTATCACCTCTTTCATGTCTGTGCTGATGTTGTTGCCAGTGAGATCTAGTGACTTCAGATTACACATTGTTTTCAGTGCTCCTGGTATCATCCCATCAACGTTGTTGAATCCAAAGTCGAAGTTCTCTAACAGGGTCAAGTTTCCCAGCTTGTTAGCAAACGTGCCTGATAATTGACATCCCGCTAACCGTAGGCTCTTGAGGCTAGTTACACCCCCTAACCAGTTGGGTGTATCTGGACTGCTGAATTGGTTACCAGAGAGGTCAAGCTCTTCAAGAACTGTAAGGTTGTGGTGTACAAACGACGATGGTACAGTAAGGCCACAGCAAAACAAAATCAGTACCGCCAAATTAGGAAGTACTTCGACCCTATGGACCCAATCAGCGACTCCGGTGAGGTCGACCCAACGCATGTTAAGATGCTCTAGCGAGTGGAGACGCGCTAACCAAGATATATCATTTGAGTAAAGGCCAAAAATATCGCCTTGTATGTCAACTGTCAAGCTGCACTAGGTTGGAGAGGTTGCCTAGCTGAGGTGGCACTAGGCCATGAAAATCCGTGTTGGAGAGGTTGAGGTAAGTCAAACTCTGGAGAGATCCCAAGAACCCCGGCATAGCCTTTGCATCTCCAAGGAGATAGTTCTGGCTAAGATCGAGATACTTGAGGCGTCGGAGAGCAAGCAACGAAGAAGATACCTGTCCTCGCAGCGAGTGGTTTTCAGGGTCATAATCGGAATAATAATCCTGTACTGAATCATCATAGCGGAGGTCGAGCTTGATGACGTGGCCTGTCCGGCGACTGCAGGTGACGCCGCTCCACTGGCAGCAGTCATGTGCACCTTGCTGCCATGAGATGAGACGATTGCCCGGGTCGCCTGTGATGCCGGCCTTGAAGGAGAGCAGCGCGGCCCTCTCGGCCGGGATGCAGCCCCCGTTGGATCTGGATGTTCTGCTCGCGTTGATGGCGACGGAGGAGGAGGTGGCGGTGGTGCTGGCTGTAGCTAGGATGACGGTTAGCAAGAGGAAGCTTGCTGCAACCATTTCATTGCTCCGGGCTCGGCTGGAGGGCACGCCGAACGGAAACATGGTGGTCAGGGCTCAGGGGCATGTCAAGTGTGTGTCGAAGAAGAAAACTGCATGTGTCGTGTCTTGTTTTTTTTTAGAAAAAGGAGAATGACCCCCGACTTCTGCATCTGAGCGATACATACGGCCACTTTATTAATTATTCTTACAAGACCTTACAAAGTAATACAACAGTAAAACTAAAGCCGCCGTCTAAGCACCTCTATCCAGCTGATGAAGGAGCGCAGATAGCCTGAGGCTAATACCAAACAATATGCCGTGTCTTGTAGGGGCTACCACAACTTTGAGTTGGGTGATACGCTAGTTGCAGCAATCAGTTGTGTACCTCTAGTCAAACGAGACACTCTACCATGACAAGCACCTCGGGTGAGGCGTACTCGAGAAGGTACTCAAAACGTGAAGAATTGGCAAGAAACACTCGGGAGCAAGACTCACAGGGGTATGGCAGTGACCAATTCTAGCTCCCCCAAGGCAATACAAGCTGCCATGCCCCAATCGTCAAGCGACTCATCGACTCGGTTCGATATTCAAGTCGGCACGCCGTCATGTCCATGTTGGCAGGCTCTACCTGGTATATGCCGTCATGTTTCAGCCGGCAGGTTCTATCAGGCTGATGTTATGCCTAGTCAGCAAGAGGCCATCGTGCTCCACACGGATTGTTGTTATACCTGTTCAGCAAGCCATCATGCTTAGCGTCGATTCGTCCCACAATCAAGTATACCAGCCGGTTATATTGATAGCTCGAGGACTTGGAGGACAGCATATGGAAACTTGCACCAGAACGCTCCGAAGATGGCCTCAAAGGAAGAAGTGCTCAACGTGAAAGTTGTGCGGATCGTCGAGACATATAACTTTGCGTTTGGAGTCATAGCGATCCGGGTTAGTATGCAACTTGCAGAGTCATGACAAGATGGCGTCCTGGGCTTCGACTTCGCGGCGCCACGCCTCCTCCTTCTCCTCAAACTCGTGTGCCTTGATGAGGCCCTGCTCGAACAGGACGTTGCCGATCTCCTCCTCCCGGCGCGGGGCCACCACCTCCTCCTCCCACGCACCGCATGCTAGGATGGCAGCCTCCATCGCATCCGCCTTCGCCGAGGGGAGGAAATCCTCCGGCCCGGCTACGCCACCGCCAAGCCTCTCCGGTTCCACCTCGAGCTCCATCCTCACCGCGCGGCCCCGCAGGAGCTCCTCCAGCTCCCTTTTCACCGAGGTGAGCGGTGTACGGGAGCTCGAGGCACCGCTGGAGGAGCTGCCCAGGACGGAGGAGCCGGAGGACAGCCCGCGACGGAGGAGCGCCTGGCCGCGGTCGTACTCCTTTGTCTCGCGGCGGAGGAGCGACGGCAGCGGCGAGAGCCCGCGGTTGGTGTACTTGCGGGCGGCCCTTTTCCTCGTGCCGTCGGTGAGGACGCACCGCCGACCCTCGGGGTCGTCGCCACCACCGGCGCCGCGGCTGCCGACCACATTCTGCGCCACATCACTGGGGTTTGAGGTCACCGGCGGCGAGAAATCGGGGCGGGGATTTTGGATTTGCGGCGGTGCGGAGATAGGGTTCCGACCTGTATCCCAGCCGCAAAACCTGTACATATACCGCGTGGTGGTGGTGGGGGTCGTTTGTGGGCCACTGTAAAAACGTTTACGGGCCGGGTGACTGTACTGGCTCTGGTCTGGCCCAAAAAACGGGTCAAACCCGTATACTCGCCGGAATTTTACAGGCTGACCCTTTTTAAGGGGTCTGCTAGAGATGCTCTTAGGGGCTTAAAGACCTGTTGTAGAGTTGAGGGGGTATTTGATATCAATGGCCACGTTTGAGGGGAAAATCTATACTTTTCTCAAAGAAAAACACTGCGTAGACTGCAGCCAAGCCGACGCCCCAGGTCCAAGCTTGTAAGCCCACATGTTGCAGGACTCAAGCGTTCTTGTTTCCTCGCACAGTTGTACAATGTTACCATCCCGCTGTTCGTTAAAAAAAATGTTACCATCCCGCCGGTCGTTCCCACCTTGAGGCAGAAGCAGAACAGAGACGAGGAGGCATTCCCAAATTTCTTGTCAATGGATGAGCCCTAGGGACTTAGCAAACGGTGATCGTAGGTCGCAGCCGGCCGGCGGAGGCCGGCAACAGGGCGCCCCGCATCACGGTGTGCGGCATGGGTACCCCTCTCCCGGGTCGTGCGACGCTGGCGCTGAGCCGCTAGGCGAGGATTTCAATTTTCATCTCCTTTAAACATCTTTCAAATTTTGTTTTTCCTATCAAGGTTTGAATTTGTTTGAACAAGCTTAATTCAGATATTGTTTGTTAAAATTTCAATACATGTATCGATTGATCAACTGAACATTTCGATTGGTGCAAAATGAGGATGATAGAAGACATTGCATCTATTTTTTGGATCCTAGTTTTTGCAAAGTAGAAACGTAATTAAGAATTTTGATATGCTTGAAAGACCTTATCGATCTCTCATTTTGATAAATCCTATAATAGAATGTTTGGTATATCATTTATTTAGCAAAAGAAAAAATGTTCATTGGACCACCCCGATTCGAATTCCTGGCTACACCACTGAGATGGCATTGTAGTGATCGACTGCGCACTGACAAAGAGTGTCAGGATCTCACCATTGTTCTTCAGTTTTGTCAGGCTTTCGACTCATACAAGCAACAAGCAACGAGCTTAGTACGCAGGGCGATTGGGCGCGACAAGCAACGAGAAAAGTAAGGCGATGGGATGGTCCAGAGAGCTATTTTACCGTTTTGGGTTGATCCAGCATCTCATATGTAACTTTTCGTTTTACCTTTGCTCAAGGCTGAAGTGGGATAAATGTAATCATAGACTTAATCTTAAACTCGTGGCTCTGGACTTGATTATTAAGAAATACTCCCTTTGTAAATTAATATAAGAGCATTTAGATCACTAAAGTAGTGATCTAAACACTCTTATATTAGTTTACGGAGGGAGTATATGATTTAGATAGAACCTAGAATGGAAATATATTATGGAGTACGTACTCCTTAGCCTTGATGAGGCTGAACAAATCTTTGCAGCTTTTTTTGTTGAATAGGCAACTTTAAGCCGTGGTTACAATTAAAAGATGTCACCTTATGTAAGGTAATTTCTGCTTTCTTTAGCCTCCGGTTTGCAAATGGACACATGTACTACATACTACATTATAAAATTGTATGATGCAAATATTTATATATTGTCATCGGACCTCATGCCACTAGATGAGCTATTATAAAAAAGGTAAAAATCCAAAACGGTAAAAAAACATCTTTTGTCTCATGTTATTCAAGTCATCGAGTGCAGTGCTCTCACCCCACCAACATCATGATCGAAAGACACAATCCTATCTGTTAACAATCCCATCTATGAACAGAATTAATGATTGATCATGCTGACACTTTCTTAGTCTTGGTTGTTCATGGTAGTTTACTTAGTATAACACACACCTCCAAATTACTTTATTTAGTCATATGTAGTGGTCTTACTTTGCTGCACATTCCAAATTAATTTGCTCAGTCACCTTATAGTAGAATTTGTCAAGGCATGTCTTAAAATAAGCAAAACAGAGACTAATGTAATGAACTAGCTTGGCGTGACTAATGTAATGAACTAGCTTGTTAAACCTTGTTATTAGTAGCTTCTGATCATCATGCAGCATAATGCAT